ACATACATACACACATACATACGGACAGACAGACATACATACGTACATATACTCACACATACACATATACATATACATATACCTTTACCTATACACGTATACATATGTACGGATGCAGCACTACATATACATGTACATTTGCATAGACGTATACATACACATGTACATATACGTGCAGACATAAACAAACATATACACATATACATATACATATATAAATATAAATAAGTATAAATCTCTATATATATACATATATATTTATGTGTATATATATATATATACACATGCATATACACATGAACACATGCATACACACACATATACGTATATACATACATACATACATACATACATACATACATACATACATACATACATGAATATACATATATGTATACATATGAGTATATGTATATGTGTGTGTATATATATACACATACATATGTACATTTATACATACATACAAATCACATATACACATACATATGACTACAGACTACATATGCATGTGTGTATGTGTGTGTGCGCCAAACATACACACTCTCTTCATTACTTACTAGTAGTGCAGGCATTGCTGTCACCTAGAGTCGCAATGCAGTGGTGCAGCGCTTATCCGCCTGATTCTGATGCTTACGCTTTGACTGTTGCCGGTAGCGGTACCGCTGCTGCATGTGTGAATGCTGTGTTATCCTGCTGCTTGCTTCGAGGGAGACGAGCAAAACACACACGAGAAAATAGTGCCGCGACCTGAATAGAGCCAGACCCAAAACCACCGTAGCATTCACGGTTGTGGGAATTCAGTTCGGGTTGGGGTTAACGACTATTGGTGCAGCGTTAAGGGCGTTGGTGTGTAAGGTCTTGAGGCTTCGGGTGAGCTTCGCCCTGTTGGCTGTACTTGATCGGGCTGGCCCCGTATCATCTACATCCCGAAATCCCAAGTAAAAGACCTGCCCAAGTGCCCGATGCAAAGGGACCCCAAACCCCTAAAACCAACAGAACGCCCTCTAGGGTTTAGGTCGTATAGGGTTTAGGATGTCCCCCTCCTGGTGTCCCAGTCGAAGACACCAAGGCGGTAGTAGTCCACAGTCACAACCATGGTGGAAACTTTCAGCACCCAAACCTGCGATGTTCTCGTAAAAAACCGGGCTGAGGGTGGTCTATAGATAGAACAAGTACATAAATACATAAATATCTATCTATCTATCTATCTATCTATCTATCTATATATATATATATACATGTGCATATATATATATATATTGAGTTGTAGTAGGCTTTGGGTTTATCATTGGGTTTAGGAGTTGAAATAGGGTTTAGACAAGAGGTTGTACTAGGGTTTAGGGTCTATAATCGGGTTTAGGGTTTGCGGTAGGACTTATAAACGGGTTGCTGGAACAGAGTCACAGCTTTTAGGGTGTATACTTCGCCGCAGCAGTTGCAAAGGTCTTGAAGCTTTGCTGTTAACCTAAAACCCTAAAAAGCCGCTGAACACTAAAAACCGGAAAACACCAAAAGCCCTAAACCCTAAACCCTAAACCCTAAAACCCTAAAACCCTAAACCCTAAACTCAAAAGCTCCAAAGAAGCTCCAAAGAAGCTCCAAGAAACTCCCCCCGGCAGCTCAAAAAGGTCCGGGCACTCGAACATTCCGAGGGGCACATAGCGATCTTCAAAGATTACGCTGTCAAACTTCCAGTCCTGGTTTAGGGTTTAGGTTTTAGGGTTTAGGGTTTGGGTTTGAAGATTACGCTGTCAAACTTCCAGTCCTTGAAGGCTGCGTCCCCCGAATAGCCCACCACCGTCGCCGTTTGCGGCTGGTATGGGTCCTTCTAAGGATTTTAGGAGGGACCCCTAATAGGGACCCTTAATCCCATTACCTTGTATAACCATTGTATAGTCAGGTAGTCTCTACAAGGGTCCCTATTAAGGGTCCCTCCCGAAGGCCTCAGGGTCCTGGCAAGGAGAGCCGAAAACGCTAAACACAAAGAATCTCTCAGCCCCGCGAGGCCCTGAAAGACCATAAACCCCAAACCCTAAACCCTAAACCCTAAGCCCCTAAACCCTAAACCCTAAACCCTAAACCCTAATAAGCATGCACATCATAGCATCCTAGAGCCGCAGAACTCCGTAGACTCGTATAAGATCTTACAAGGCTCCAGCGCTAGACTGTACAGAGCCCCAAAGGCTTCCCGACATATAACCCTTAACCCTAAAGGGTTTAGGGTTTAGGGTTTAGGGTTTAGGGTTTAGGGTTTAGGGTTTAAACCCTAAACCCTGTCTATAGTCTCCATTGTAGTTCCTTTTTCCCCAAGGGTCCAAAGGACCCAATAATCAGGTACGTAGGTTTCGGATAGTAGTTATGTAGGTTACAATTTGGGCGAGTATACTGGACCCTTAGGGCTTTGGAGTTGATCCTATAATAAAAAATTGGTTAACCAGAAAAAAGAACTACGATGGAGACTTTAGGGAATCCGGTAAATCTATACTGAACTTAGACCCCTAGCACAAATTATAATTTTAGCTTCTTCTTAGGGTTTATAGCAGCCAAAGATTAAAAATTATTTCTAAGTGCCCCTACCCTAAACCCTAAACCCTAAACCCTAAACCCTAAACCCTAAACCCCTAAACCCTAAACCCTAAACCCCTAAGAAACCCTGACGTGACTTCCGGGTCTCCTCCCGCAGCAGGCTGGCACCCATGAAAGCGAGGTAACGTTGGCGCTTCTTATCCTTACTTGCCCGGTTCAGGAACCGGAAATAACGAACTTAGGGCTTATAGGGTTTAGGGTTTAGGGTTTAGGGTTTAAGGTCACAAAACCGACTGGCATGTAGTAAAGCCGAAGGAATCGGATCCTGTCATTGGGAAGAGGCATCAGGCACTCACCCACCCACGCATCCATACATACATACTCTCGAATGCTCCACCCACTAACCCCCAATCAAAACAAAGAACTCAAGCTCAAGTCCCAAACCCTAAATCCGTAAACCAGAAACCTCAAATCAAAACCCTAAATCCGTAAACCAGAACCTCAAATCAAAACCCTAAATCCGTAGACCAGAAACCCCAAATCAAAACCCTAAATCCGTGAACCAAAAACCTCAAATCAACGCCCAAGCATCCCACAAGGCCGTGGTGGGATCTCGGAAGGTCGTGGAGCTAACGACGTGCTCCTGAGCTTGCGGTTTTGGGGGGCACTAGGCCAAGGGTTGGCACAGGGCGGGCTTTACAAGGTCTGTATAGGGGTTTAGCAGGTTCTGTGCTGCATAGGGGTTTTCAGGGTTTGTTTCGGGGTTTTTTCAGGTTTTATAAGATCTTCGAGGTTGTGGTCGGAAGTTTATGCCATCTAAGAAATTATGCTCTTTGCTGAACTTCTACCGTGGGGCTTGCTCTACACCCTAAACCCTAGACTGTAACGGAACCCTAAACCGGTTCAGTTCCGATGTTGCTTTGGGGACGTCTGGGTTTAGGAAGACGCACCCTGCAGTATTAACCTTGAGCTGCTTGCAGATTCTCTATTGCTCTCGAAGATTTGGCCTAAACCCTAAACCCTAAACCCTAATTGTTTAGGGTTTCGGGGCGCAAGGGCATGTCAGACTCTTACTCTGCGGGGACCATGACAAGGTTTCAGATTAGCAATTAGCAGCTGGTCAGGCCTCTCTCTCTCTCTCTATCTATATATATATATATATATATATACACATACATATATAATTATATATATATATATATATATATATAAGTTCCTGCTCTTATCATGTCCAAAGTATGAGAAACTTGTCTCCCAGTTTTCCCAGGGCATGTTACATAACACCGATTAAGCAGAACGATGCTGTGGGGTTTTGTTGGCTTAGGGAGTCTTCTCGGAGTAGTTCGGGCACCATGAATCCTAGACCCTACACCACATTCTACCGCAACTCACTCAACCCTATAGCCTATAGCCCCTTTGCCATACAGCCTACAATCTACACCCGAAGCCCTAAACCCTACACCCTAAACCCAAACCCCTAAACTGGCCTAAACATGCCCCAGTCTCTGGAAACTCCGAGATGATCGGGTTCTTCGGATCCTCCTGCCACTCCTGGGAGAGGTTTTCGTTAAGGGTCTTCCAAAATTTTAGAAAGGGTTCTATAAGGGTTCTATGAGGTATGGGGGTACTGAAGCATTCTGTTAGGGTCTTGCTGGGAGAATGTGGAGCCAGTGGTCAAGGAAAATGGTCCTTCCTATGTTAGGCTTAGGGGTTTGGAGTTTTTGGGCGCAGACCTGAAAAGCCTGATTGTGATCGTAGAATCATACGAGTTGACAAGTATTGCGAAAGTGCAGTCTTACCCGATCGCAACCCAGAAGCATAAAGCAAACCCTTAACATCCCTAAACCCTCAACCGTGAACCCTAAGCCCCTAACCCCTAAACCCCTAAATCGAAAAACCCTAAACCCTAGACCCCTAACCCCTAAACCGCTAAATCGATAAACCCTAAACCCTAAACTCCTAACCCCTAAACCCCCAAATCGAAAAACCCTAAACCCTAAACTCCTAACCCCTAAACCGCTAAATCGAAAAACCCTAAACCCTAAACTCCTAACCCCTAAACCCCTAAATCGATAAACCCTAAACCCTAAACTCCTGACCCCTAAACCGATAAACCCTAACCGCAACCAAGAAGCGTACAGCAAAGGATCCCCAGGATCCTTTGGCCAAGCGGCGCACTGGACTTGCCCTTTGCTGCCTAGGTTCCCCAGTAACCCCTTAATAATGGGTTTAGGGTTTAGGGTTTAGGGTTTAGGGTAATAATAAGGGTGCCCTTTTTCCTACTATTCGGGTTTTGATAAGGGAGCCCAAAAAGAAAATGGGCAAAAGGGTACTACTGGGGAACCTAGCTGCTCACGCACGTGTAGAGGATCACCGGGACACTGCCATTCACCAGCGTAACCGAGCCTGGCTTCCATCTTTACTTGGGTTTAGGGTTTAGGGTTTAGGGTTTAGGGTTTGGGGTTTAGGGTTTAGGGCTCTTGTGATTCCGGATAGGGTCTATAGCATGATCAGTATGATACCTTTTGAAACATGAATTCGGTGATCGAATTTACCGAGACCCTACCGAAACAAGTAGTACGGTAGTAGATAGGGGAAAGCAGACAACATCAAATTGCAACAGTGGAATACCTGAATCCTACGATCTCGAATCGAATCGTATCAAGGACACGCCTGGCCTATTACGCCCACTGCTGAAGGATAAAGTATGCTGAACTAAAAGCGCTCAGGAGAGAGAATTAAAAGCATTCGATCTGAGGATCATGTGGCTGAGGCTTTATTGGTTTAGGGTTTCGAGTTTAGGGTTTAAGGTGTCGATGTGCGGGTGCGTGTGTGTGTGTGTGTGTGTGTGTGTGTGTGTGTGTGTGCGTGCGCGTGCAAGAGTGCCCCCAAGCCCTGTCCCGAGCCATCAACAGCAGAACCCCAAACCACAAGGACCCGCCTTGCGGTCGAACAGAGGGTGGATGCAGGGTCTAGGCATAATCTCTGGATTGCGATACCAATCGGAACCTCTCGTAGCAAAACCCCAAGTCTGACAGTGCGAAGTCCTGCGTGGACTGATTGGCGCAAGATTCCGAGTCGTTTAGGGTTTAGGGTTTAGGGTGTATGGCCCTAAAGTGCAAACCGCTTGAGTTGGAAGGAGGACATCGCCCAGCCTAGACGATCTGGGCGACCGTAGTTCTTGTTTCATCCATTCCGGACATTACCGAAAGCCTTCTGGGAAAGGTTCGCAAGATCTAGACCCTACTTTTTGCAGCCCGCCTACACCTTCCTTGTTCATTAGGGATTCAACAACAACCTTCCAAGTAGGTTGTGGTAGATTAAACCCTAAACCCTAAACCCTGAACCCCTAAACCCTAAGCCCTAAACCCTAAACGTATTACCACAAACTCTAGCTCGCAAAACGCCGTCTGGAAGCCGGAGTAAAATCCGCCGCTCGCATACGGGTACTTCGCCGGGTTGAAGGTCAGTGCCTGCGTAATCACGTTTAGGGTTTATAGGGTTTAGGGTTTAGGGTTTTAGGGTTTAGGGTTTAGGGTTTAGGGATAGTTCTGTCTTTATTGGGCTTTCCCGGAGTTCTGTAATAAGGTCTCAGGGCCGATTTCGAAGTCATGACAACAAAGGAATACCAGGGTTTGTCTTTGCTACCATCCTGGCCGCTATACTTATAGGTTCTGTCTTTGGGCTTGCTATAAGCTCACATCCAGCAATAACAGCAACCTGCCAAACAGGTGACTGTGCTTCTGGCGAGGGTTACGTTCCAGATTCGACCACTTATTAAGGAGCTGTAGTGCTGTGCCGTACCGGCTCCAATGCAGCCTACTGTTATGCGTAGATAACATCATCCCTTTTGGCCAGAAACTCCTTCTTGCCAGATTCGTACGGGTCCATCTAAGGTTGAACCCATGGGCCCCTAGTATGGGCCCTATAACCCTGGGATCCTTTTACACCTACTATCTACCCTATATGTACCCTTAAGGGTCCCTAGAAAGGCCTAAGGGTCCATACTAGGGGCCCATACTTCTAACAAGGGTCGCGGAACAGGACCCCAAACCCGAAGCTCCTACTTCGTCCGGAGTCGGGTTGCCCTAAGCCATACTTGGAGGATCAAAGCACTTAGGAAGCAAGCTTATGGATACCTTAACCGGGTCTACACATAGTAAAAAATACAAGTATCTCTTATAGCCCTAAGCCCTGCGTACTGAAACCCGAAACCCCAAACCCTGTAAGTACATCCAGGTCTGCCCCCCGAATGCCCGCTAACCCCACGGAATGGAGCTATTTACTCAACCTGGCTGCCTAAACCCTAAACCCCTAAACCCCCTAAACCCCCTAAACCCCTAAACCCTAAACCCTAAACCCTAAACCCCTAAACCCTAAAGTCGTCTCTCAAGCTGGTATCTGATACAAACCGGGCGACCGGGCAGAGAGACCTCAATCACGGCACCTCCAAACGCAGCCCGAAACAGAAAAAAACAGCAAAGAGCTAAGCAGCCTAGATAACCCTACAACCTAAACCCGAGAAACCCTGAACCTAACCCTCAATCCTAAGCCAAACCCTGAACCCTAAACCCTAAACCCAAAACCCTAAACCCAAAACCCAAAACCCTAAATCCTAAATCCTAAACCCTAAAGCCTCGACCCCAAAACCACTTTTGGAGGCTCCAGGGTTCAGGTCTTAGGGTTCAGGGGTTGAGGGGTCTAGAGTTATTAGGCTTTAGGGGTGTTTTAGGGTGTTTAGGGGTTTCGGGGTTTGGGGGTTTAGGGTCTGTAGGGTCTTTAGGGGTTTCGGGGTTTCGGCGTTTAGGGCTTAGGGGTTTCGGGGTTTAGGGTTGGGAGGTTTCTGTTCTTCCAGCCTCCGTCGGCCCGAGTCTCTGCCAGTGGACATAGTCACGACTCACCTGAAAGGCTTCCCTGAACCCAAAACCCCAAACCCAAAACCCAAAACCCAAAACCCAAAACCCTAAACCCTAAATCCTAAACCCTAAACCCTAAACCCTAAACCCTAAGGGTTTTGGCTTAGGGCGTTCGGACCGAACCCGAAGCCAAAATAAGGAAGGCTGGGTGAGGACTAGATGACTCCCAGGGCCCGGACACCTTCACCGGCCTCTGGGCTCCATCTTTCTCTTTCGGAGTTGGGGGTTTAGGGTTTAGGGTATAGGGCTTGTAGAGTTTAGGGTTTAGGGTATATAGAGTTTAGGGTTTAGGGTATATAGAGTTTAGGGTTTAGGGTATATAGAGTTTAGGGTTTAGGGTATAGGGTTCAGGGTTCAGGGTATAGGGCCTTGTACAGGGTTTCGAGTTTAGTCGGAGTTAAGATTGGGGGTGACCCTTGGGGATATAGACCCTCTCTATAAGGTCCCTTTTCAGAGTGCCACAAGTAGGGTTAAGAAGGGTCCCCTTTAAGGGGTCTCCCTCATACTACCTAGGACTTTTCAACCAACCACGGACGCTCTGACTCCGACTGAGGCTTAGTGACTGAATGTTTAGATTGCTCGGGGCCTGAGGCATAAAGTTCATAGGGTCTTCGAAGGAACCATCCCAAGGTACGACGATCCTCCTGTCACAGAACCCTTTAATGTTTGGCATTCGGAGGCCTCAAAAGGTGGGATGAAGGTAGGTAGGATTAGGATTAAGGATCCCTTATATAGGGACTACTATTTCCTCCAAAGGATTCAGGGCTTGGATGCTGCAGGCCCCAAAGCGCCACTGAATCCAGCAGAGCCACCGTGTGGTACCACGACATGCTACCCCAGTCTGCGCCGTGGGGATTGTACTGCCTTCGCATTTGTTTCTGACTCTTCGACTTTCGGGTTTGGTTTAGGGTATAGGGTGTTTAGGGTGGGGTCTTGGGTCTTGTGCTGCAAACGATGTTTATATTTTGCAAGAAGTGAAGTCCACTCCCGAAAGCATAACTGAAGTACTAGACCTATATATGCTGCTATCCTCAGAAGGCTCAAGATCGGAACGAAGCTGCATCCAGAGATGGACCATGCCGGTGACGGGGTCGCGGAACGGCCCATTCGGGTCGTTGATCCAGTTCCTGGGGCGCTCGGAAACCACTTGTTCGAAAGTATGATTGCCTCTTCCTTTCTCTGACGATTTTGATGATGAAGTTGATGGCGGTGATGGCAGTGATGGTGATGATGATGACGACGAAGATGGTCACGATGCTTCCTCTGCTGCCCCGGTCAATCCTCCTGGTTGTCTCTGCTAGTACCCAAGACGACAAACCACTGCAACTGCTCCTCCTCCTCCTCCTACTCCTAATCACTGCAAGCTTAATCCTTAAACTTGCAAGGAACAACCCTAAACCCTGAACCTTACTTCACGCATTCAACCGAACTTAAACCCGACACCGGAAACCCTGGAACTTTAACAACAAATCCGTAACCCTGAAACCTATAAACTCCTAAAGCCCTATGTCAACAGAAGAACAGGACCCAAGGCCGTCCGGGCTTCGAAGGTGGCCGCACATGAAATGCAGGAAAGTCGTCGAAGAAGCCAATCCCAGCGGCCACGGAAAGAGGCAGCAACAAGCGAAGAGTGGCCATGATGCGTAGCAGAAGGGGGACGACTGAGAGCTGGGGGGCTTAGCGCCTTAAGCATTCAGGACTTAGAGTTTAGGCAACTTAGGTAAATTGTCAAAGTTCTTGAGACTTGGGGAGTGCCTCAGGGATTTGGCTAAAGGTTGAAAGCGAGCGATGGCATCGCTTCGAATGATGGACTTTCGAAACACGTCGCAGTATCATGGTGCTTAGGTTTTGGAAGTGAGAGACCCCTAAACCCTATGCCCTAAACCCTAAACCCTAAACCCCTAAACCAGGGCTTTAGGTCTGAGGGCTTTCTGTTTTGACTCAAAGCGCTCGGGTTTGAGGCGCGCCGTGGGGAAGGGGCCTACGCTTCTTTGAGCGGTGAATCTGCATCTGCAGGACGGCCATGAGTAGGGTTTAGGGTATAGGGTTTAGGGTTTAGGGTTTAGGGTATAGGGTTTAAGGTATAGAGCTCTTACCCACGGCGAGAATGAGACGGGAGAACCCGAACGGACTTTGAAAGTGCATCTGGGTGTCATTGGTGCCACAAGAGCTGGGCTACCAAAACCCCTAATACCCTAAACCCTAAACCCCATAAACCCTAAACCCCAAAGATTCTAGTTACCGCTACCTCTTTGATTCCTTGTTTTGCGCATGAGTATACCTATAGTCTCCATTGTAGTTCCTTTTTGGGGTTACCTTCTAGGATCCTCAATACATAATTGTATAATTGAAAAGACCAAAAAAGGAACCCCTAAACCCTAAACCCCCAAACCCTAAACCCCCAATGAGACCAAAAAAGGAACCCCTAAACCCTAAACCCTGAACCCCCGAACCCTAAACCCCCAATGAAGACTACGTAGTACCGGCACGCAGATGCTGCGGTTACACCAAGCAGACTGGAGTGCAAAAACAGAACCCAGCGTTCCAGATTTGGGCCTTGGCTTGTTGGGCTGTAGGGCTTAGGGCTTAGGGCTTAGGGCTTAGGGCTTAGGGTTTAGGGTTTAGGGTTTTGGGTTCAGGGTGTGGGTGTTGGGTTTAGGTTTTAGGGTTTAGGGTTTTGGGCTCAGGCTGTTGGGTTTGGGTTTACAGTTGAGGGTTTTGGGTTTGGTTTTGGGTTTTGGGTTTAGGGTTTAGGCTTTAGGGTTTAGGGTTTAGGGTTTACGGTTTGGGGTTCAGGGTACCTAGACAGTAAATTTTGGCCACGTATTGTGTGACCCAGCAACTAGTACTATAGGGAACTGGAGCCCAAGAGAAATCCAAACCCTAAACCTCAAACCCGAAACTTACCCAACACCTCTAAAAAATCCCTAAACCCTAAACTTCCCGACACTTTATCCTAAACCTTATAATCCAAGCAGCCGATCCAGGCGTTCCTTTCGCATTCGGCGTCGCGTTTGCAGCTTGACAACGGAGCGGGGACTCGCTTGGGTGTAGAGCCTCGCGAGGTAGGGTTGAGGGGTTTGAGGGTTTAGGGCTTTAGGATTTTTGTTTGGAGTGGGGGGGCGTTTAGGATTTAAAGTCGAGGGCTTAGCCTGTAAAAAAAGGGCCTGCAGAGTCAGAATAGGGTTTGGGGGGAAGGGAGCAATGTTGGAAATTATTCAAGGCCCCTGTATTGGGGCTCAGGGTGCAGGGTTTAGGGCTTGTGGCTAATGTTCAGAGCTGACTTCGTGCCTGCAGAGCCTTTGAAAGACTTGGGCTTCAGCAGGGACTCAGGGCTAGGTTCTTATTTTACACCTCCATTGGAATTGTTGGGGCCCTACAAGAAAGTAGGTTCTGGTAAATTAATTAAGGTAGGGTAACTTGAACTTTCGTAGCTTCGTTTGTGATAGGGCTCCCGAAGCGGTATACTGAGAATGTGGTCGACGTCTTGGGCCCAACAAACTTAACAGTCAAAGATTCGAGACTTTGGATCGACGAGCATCTTACAGCCTAACGTGGCTGCAAGGAAGTTATATATGAAATTCGTGGCTGCATTCCTGTTGGACATTGAAGAGTCCAAGGTTACATGGCTCGGCTGCCAAGAACTCGGATTCTTAATCCAGCCAGCCAGCCACATATCACATCCTATGCTACTCTAAACTCGAAAGCCCCATCCCTCTCCTCATCTCTGCCAGGAGGCTGCGTAAGGGTAGGGCTGGCTGCAGCAGCGGAAATGCTAAGGATGCCAGCCGCAGGACTGAAGGTAAGTGCTGTATCAACAGCACATGCCTTTAGACACAGGGAATGTTCCTTATGCTTTGTGTTAGTAGGGTCATTGTTAGTTTAGCAAGAGGGTCGGAGTTCAGGCATACACGGCGCTTGCCGAAAACATGCCTTCGAGCATCAGGTGTTCTGATCTATGTAGTCTCCTAGACTCCTAAAGTGGAAGACTAACTTGCGAAAGCACTGCAGGCGATCTGGCAATGGCAGTGAGATCGGATGAGTAGACAACGAGTGATAAAGAGAAACCACCGAGACTAAGTAATTTGCTAGGACGTCCGACCATCACAGGTCATGAACCCTAAACCCTAAACCCTACACCCTAAACCCTAAACCGTAGGGACAACCAAGGTGCTAAGCCGCTCCAATACTCAAAGTCACCGGGTTTAGGGCACCCATCTCCTGCGTTTTTTGTTCACGACCGCTTTGCGTAGCCAGCAGATTCACGAAAACTAGTGACGACTGTCTGAAAGCCATTATTAAACCCGAAACTCGAAACCCAGGGCCCCTCCAGCCAAACATCATCAATCCCATATCCTAAACCTCAGCCAGAGGCGCAAGCTTCGTTCAAACTGAGCCCCACGACACCTGAAGCCCTCGACCCCTGGAGCAATTGTACCCAATAACTCGTCAAAGATCCCACGCGATCCTCCCGGTGGAAGGACCCCCGGGGACTGAACTGTGGGAACACCGACTCTGGTTCTTTGTTGGGGCTATATTAAAAATGATCATTCATTTTTAATCCTTATTGGGTTTCTTTATAACACAAATGTAAAATTGTAGCCAACAAGGACCCAGGAATCATGATGACTTAGGAGCCTTGATCAGTAGGACAGGGTTGTTGGCTCCTTTGTTAGGTATCATATTGGTATTGAAGCTTCTAAAATACCTAGTTCAACAGTAAACATCAAAGTATCAACACCAAACCCTAAACCCTAAACCCTAAACCCTAAACCGACAACCCCAAATAGGGTGGAGGACCGTGGCCTGGGTAGGGTTTCGGGTTTTGGGGCTTTTAGGTTTAGGCTTTGGGGTTTAGGGTTTAGGTTTTTTTTGTTAAGGGCCCTTTTCGGTTCAGAGGTTGGGTTTAGGGTTTAGGGCTTAGGGTTTAGAGTTTAGGGTTTCGGGTTTAGGGGCTTAGGAGTTGAAGTCAACAACAATGCGAGGAAAGTCATGATAATGACTCCCTGTCTTTAGAGCCCTTACATTCAGATATTAGTCTAGTAATTCCACCATCCTCAACGAGGAATCAGGGCATACTAGCACCATACAGACATGGCAACCACAAAATTTAGCAATAATACTAGAGCTACTCAGGCGAGAAACCAAACTTGTCACCCATCGCATAATGTGATAACCTAGAACCTTCAGTAGCCCACCAAACCCCGAAACTCTACAATCCCGAACCCCGAACCCCACCCGAAACCCTAAACATCCAGAGCCCCAAGAAGCGCATCTACCCCAAGAGTGCTTCCCTAAACCCTAAACCCTAAACCCTAAACCCTGGACCCTAAACCCTAAAACCTAAACCCTAAACCCTGGCCGTCCCTGCCACGGCACGCTAGGTTGGGATGTCGCCCCCTCGGAGACAGCCCGCACCTCGGGCGGAGGCTTCATGCTTGCAGGGGCTGACGGCTTCGGGCTTAGGCTAATAGTTATACTAGTACTAAGAGTAGGGAGTGGTGGTAGTAGTAGTAGCAGCAGCAGCAGCAGTTGCTACTACTACTACTACTACTACTACGACGACGACGACGACGACGACGCGGCACGACGACGACGACCACTGTCCCCATCCCGTATATGTGGGTTGGAGGGCTTGGACTTGTAAACTGTTCTTTTGGTGAAGACCAGCGGAACCATGACTAACAGCACTTTCAATCGGGGATTACCCACAGCCTTATGCTAGCAGCCCTCATGCCGAAACCATGAACCTTCCAGCCCGTGGTGAAACACTCAGGACCCCGAGCCCTAAATTGCTGAACCCTATACAATAACTCAAAACTCAAGATCCAAAGCCCTAAACCAGTAAACTTACAAACCCTAGACTCCTAAACCCTAAACAATAAAGCCAAGATGCTGGCGTCGATGGAATATGCTCAATCTCAAACTCAGGAACTTCTGGAAATCCCGGCAACTCCTTTGTTCGCCGCAGGGCTTTGGTTTAGGATTCAGGGCTTAGGGTAATACAAGGGCCTTAATATTTACAATGGGGTTTTGGGTGGTATCTGACAGCATTTCTTTTCATAAAGGAACCCTAGACAATAGTATTTGTGAGCTTGTTTAGGTTTATGCAGGGCTGCTTGCGCGGGAAGGCTATTCGGGGCTCGTAAGGGTCAGACAGCAAGATTTCGGGGGCAGTTTCAGCTGGAAGGCCGATGGAGCCAGCAGCAGCTGAAGGTTTAGGATTCATGATGCAGGACACGTGGATTGGGGCTTCGGGCGCAAAGCTCAAATTGAAGCTTTGCTGGTCGTCGGGTTCCAAAGCCTAGATCGGCAAGCTACTGCTGCCGCCACTGCTATGCTGCTGCTGCTGCTACTGCCACTACAGCTGCTACAGTTAAGGGACAATAGGAGGGACCCCTAGAAGGGACCCCGAATCCAAATACCCTATATAACCCTCATATACCCGTTATAAATTATAAAGTCTCATAAAGCCCCTATATACCCCCAAGGGTAACTTTAAGGGTCCCTCCTTTAGTCCCTTGCTACAGAACATCCCTACGGGATGCGGCCCTTTGGGCGCTATACCATGGCTTCTCTCAGAATTCTACGAGGGCTCCTGACAGGATCCTTAGGGGGTTGAACGGCATAGGCTTAGG